CGTTATCCAAAATATATCGACCTGGAATGAATCATGCTTGGTCAATGTGAAAGCATTTGTCTGTAAGTTTTATGATTATGTTTGCTAATGCCTTTGCTAGGATTTTGTATGGCATTGTGAGAAGTAAGATTGGGCTGTAGTTCCTGAGTTCCTCCTTGTCGCCCTTCTTATATAACAGTGAGACTACGCTGGTGCTTAGGACTTGACCCAGGCCTGTTTTTTCCCTGCTATCATTAATAAAGTTCAGGAGGTCAACTCCCAGTGTGGGCCAGAATTGGATCCAGAATTCTTTGGACAGGCCATCGATTCCTGGAGCTTTGTCATTTCTCATCTGGGACAGGGTTGTGTGCAGTTCCCCTAGAGTGGTTTGTCCACGTCCTTTGTTTGTTGTTGGGTGATTGTTCTCTCTAGGTAGGTCATCATGCGCTGACGGGCGTTGATGTTCGCTGACTGGGGGGGGGGAGGTAGTTTTGGACTCGTAGAGGTCAGCGTAGAAGGATCTGGCTCTTCTTACCATGTCTGTACTGGCTGACTTTGTCTTCCTTTGGTCTGATGGGTCCTTCAGTCTCTCGATCATGTTATTCCTTCCATTGGCCTTAATTTTGGAGAAGAAGAATTTGGACATGGATTCGTTCAGGGTGTAGTCGTTCATTCGGGCCCGTATTTGTAGGCCCCTGAGTTCCCATCTTCTCCATTAATTTCATCCGTCCTTGGTAGATTGTAGTAGGTCGTGGTAGAAGGAGTTGGAAGGCTCTGATGCGAGCTTGGTTTCCGCGATGTCAAGAGCAATTTGTAATTCTTCCGTCCTGATTTTGTGTTCTGCTGCTATGCTTCTAGACTCTGCTGAGACCGTCTGAGATAGTTCCGTATAGCTGTCTATGAACCACTTGTGCCTGTTTCGGCGTTCTTTGATACGTCCGTATAGCTGTCTATGAACCACTTGCGCCTGTTTCGCTGTCTATAAACCGAACGCATAACTTTTTTTGACCACATCAAATCACTCTTCCCGAACCCCCTACCGCTAATCATTGCAGGCGACCGGAACACCACGATGGATCCCAGTCTGGACCGCATCTCCCGGGCAACGCTGTTGGGACCCACACGAGCGAGCACACACCTGAGAAACATCATGACGGAGTTCGATCTGGTAGACCCTTTTCAAATTCTCCACCCACGCAAAAAAGCCTTCTCCCTAGTCAAAAGGAACCGATCTAACCACACATCACTGTCACGGATCGACTTCTTCCTAATCTCCGACATGTTGCAGGGAGCAATCAAGGAGGCCGATATCCTACCAGCAGCAACCTTCAAGGGGCTCGATCACAAACCAACCTACCTGCTCCTCAACTTCAACTCTCCGGTAGAAAAAGGGCAAGGCTTTTTCAGACTCAACAACTCACTTCTCTCCACAGATCGCATGATAGAGGCAGTCAGATGGAACTGGACTTTCTTACAAGGCAGCATTCATTTATTTATTTATTTGCTGTCCTATTTTTGTTTGTTCAGGCGTCGTTACAGGCAGAGGTTACATCGGGCATGAAGCCCAGGATCTGATTCGACATTTGTGGTAAACATTGATTGGACATTCGGCAGGGAGAATGTTTTTGGACTTTGCTATCGCGGTCTTGGCCTTCTCCCTTATCTCCATCTTCATCTCGCCTCTCCCCCCCATCTCCTCATCCGTGGTATCTCCCCATACGTGTGATCCAGGAGGGACCTTTCTCCTATGTATGTGGTCCCTCCTCTCTCTCACACATGTGGTGTATGATGGGGTGTCACGTCAGTATCTGACAGGTCAGGTCGTGTTTTTGAGTCTTCTGCTGCACTACGTTGTGCTATTTTCATACGTATCTGGATGTCCATTGCTTGTTGATGCTTTTCTGACGCTGCATTGTCCATTCGAGTCCTCTTCATCACTTTGCGGATCCTTGGCTCCCCATACATTGCTCAGCTGAGCATGTATCACATGATGATGATCTCATCTGATGAGCAGGTCGTCGAGTCATGTACCAGGATCAAATCATTCAAATGTGAGGTCCAGCACATGATAAGAGAGAAGTTGACTCAATGACACACCACATGCACAACTTATGAAGTTTACGAAAAGCAGACCCTTGCAAAAGTGGATGATGGAAAACATGTAGGTCAAAGAATCTGAAACAACTGGTAAAGTCAAGTCAACCATAAAGTTTAAGATGTGGATGATCTCAATACCCAACCCACTAAGACTTCAATATTCAACAATAGACTATGTAGTGTACTGTGTAGTATGTATGTCTCGCACATTGCCTCTCACGCAAACCAGGGGACGATCTCAATACCCAACCCACTAAGAGATCAATATTCAACAATAGACTATTTAGTATGTATGTCTCACACATTGCCCCTCACACAAACCGCAAACAGACTAAGATAATCTCTCTCTCTCTCTCTCTCTCTCTCTCTCTCTCTCTCTCTCTCTCTCTCTCTCTCTCTCTCTCTCTCTCTCTCTCCACCCATCCATGCCTCTCTGTCCTCCTACACACTCTCACACATTGCCTCTCCCTATCCCACACACAGAGATAATGCCACCCTATATCTCACATAGAAATTAACACACGGTCAATGTCACTCTGTCCCACACACAAACCCTACCGGACCTCCCTGGGCCTACCCAAGCTGGAAAATGCCCATCGGGTCCCTGACAAATTCTACCTCTATCCCATGTGGTGACCCACACAATTGCAGTCTGATAACTCATCACTTTTCGGAGAAAATGCTGTACTTTTGATATGACTGCAAAATCTGATTCTGAGTCGATTCTACTGTGTTTGCTGAGGCCAGTCCCATGATTGCATATTCGTCGGCATGTTTTCTAAGTGTGCATGTCATCTGCAGGTAATGTATGTATGTTGTGTGCTTGCCTGATTCCAAGTCTGAGTTTCTGTGTGAAGTCTGTTGGCCGTGTTTTTTTTTGTGTGGTTGTGCCTCGGACAGGAACGAAGTAGACATAGGGGTAGGTTCAGGGGCAGAACGGGAAGCTAGCCACAGGAACATATTGGGAGTAGAGTACAGGCGAGGGACAAAAGTAGAATTTGCTAGAGGCCGGTGGGGATTTTCGAGCAAGTGGGCTGGACCCGGAAGGGTCTAGCAAATGTCCAGTAGGTAATGATGGTCCCAAAACTGAATATGGCCGGTAGAAGTCTAGGTGCAGGGTCTGTAGCAAGATATCAGTCTGCGACTCTGCAATGATTTTCCCGCTGGAAATGGGGGACACCCTGTAGGCCTAGTGCATGCGAGGGAGGCTGAGAAGAGGCAGGTAGTGCACGCCCGAGAGGAAATAAGGCCAGGAAGCCAAAGTATATCATATGGTGCAATGAGTGAGGTAGACCTCTTATTCACTTGCCCAGAAGTCATGCTTCTGCTCCTCCAGAGGGCGAGGTTGGGAGAGCTAAGGGCAAAGGAGAAGACCTCCATGGCTATGGAGGAGAGTAGGGAGAGGTAGGAGAAGCCGTAGGCCATGAAGGTATAGGGAGAAGCCGGGTATGGTGAAGGAGAAAGGTTGAAGGAGGAAGGAGGAGGTCAGGACCGGCAAGGAGACTTGCCTTTGGCTATGGTGGACTTCCATCTTCATCTTCCTTGGCATTGCACCAAGAACCGCTGTTGGGACTCCGATTGCACATGAACTTCATTCGGAGGACAGGCATGGCAGTAGTAGAGAGGAGAGAGCATGATTGGGGAGAGCGGTAGAGTGAGATGAAGGAGAGCTCTCCAAGTCTGGCAGTAAGGGCGATCATTCGGACATTGATTTGTGTTTGTTGATTCATACTATTGTTATTTATTTTTAATAAAGAGTCTGAGCTGATGATGGAGGGAGAGATGATGGTGGCAAGATACAGAGGAAGATGACATTCACCCCAACTTCTTCTTCTTCTTCTTCTTCTTCTTCTTCTTCTTCTTTCCCCCATCCATCTTCTCTCCTTGAATCATTCTTCTTCTATTTGAGTTGCAACGAGCGGCATTATCACGCACTTGAGTTTTGCATCGTGAGATGAGGAGGATCATAGCACCTACCATCTTCCCCCGAATAGAAAATACTGTCATTATTGTTGTATCTGGACTGAAAATTGCTCCAAGCACAGTAATATAATGACCCTATGTTCTACTTGGGGGAAGACGGTAGCCCCTATAATTTGGGATAAGTCCCTCTGTGGCCAAACTTCAGGCCTGTCCCTGTAACACCATCACCTATTTCTACTATACCCATGTCTGAGACACGGAAACACATCTCGGGAAAGAAAGTTAGCATGGGGACACAACTTAGACCCAGGCAAGCACACGGGCATACTCGTCTCATAAGCAGAACGTACGGGGGAAGACAGTAGAACCTAGAATTTCCGCGAATTTCCGGTAAGTCCCTTTGAACTGAGTCTGTAGCCAAGTTCAGGCCTGTCCTAGTAAAGACACCTATTTCTACTACACCCACGTCCGAGGCACAAAAAAAACAGCTGGGAAAAGTTAGCACGGGGACACGAGTTCGATCCAGGCAAGCACACGGGCATACTCATCTCATAAGCAGGTCACACAGACACAGAAAAACACAGAAAAATAGACTGAGAGTCGGAAATCTGAGCAAAGCTCGGCAAACAGAGAAAGGATAGCAACATTTCTCAGAAAATGCAGAACTCGCAGTCGGTAACTGTGCGGGTCATTGCAAAAGATCATTTCTGAGAAAAGGACTCATTCTCGGATGGTGGTTTGGGGGGGCTGCTATCCAATGTTCTACGTACGTAGCAGGGACAGGGAGGGGAGTAGCCGAACTAGCCCCTTCCTAGGTCACTCTAGCTGTCTCTAAGCAGTAACAGCTGGGGAGCTTGCACCGGGTATGGTAGGCTGGCAGTTTCCGGGGACTGCTTTTTTTTGTTGCGATTGCTAAGATGAGGTGGGAGGGAGAGGGTTGCATCCCCTGGTAGCCAAAATGAAACAAAATGGAGGAGAAAAGGGACAAGAAAAAGCCTTACAATGTTGAATTCGTTTCGGATGGCTTCCTTGAGCCTCTCATGCATAACCTCCAGCACCGATTTCCGAAGGCCCAGAGCCTCTAACACCCTTACGAAGCAACTTTGCATCCGCTGCATCTCTGCCGCCTGTTTCTCATGTGTTTCAATTTTGTCCACCACAGATCGTTTTGCGAGTAACTGGGGTGAAGTTAACTTTATGCGACCAGCGGAGAGTTGTCCAAGTACGAGCGATGAAAACTTTCCGAGTTTAGCCTGAATTGCGGACAGTGCGCTCCTAGCAACTCCAGCCCCTGCCAGCACTTTGGCTGTTATTGATCTTATGCGTCCGGTGTGTACGGGATCACTTGTGCCAGTTTGTGAGGAGTTGGCACCAAGTTTGTTATCTTGGCTTTTCGGGTTGGCGATCTCAATCGCAACACTTTGTGCTTCCGTTCCGCCAAATGTAACATGATGTTTTCCTTCTTTCTTTCCATCACCATCGTCTGATTTCTCCATGTTCTCCGAGTCTCCTTGGTTGTTGATGGTCGCATGTTGTGGGTTCTCCTCACCCTTAGAAGTGTCCATTGCTAATGACTTCCTGTTGAAGAACTAGTCAGATGGGCGACAGGCTTCTGCACTTCAGGACTGATTCAGTGCAACTTTGACTCTGATCCCGCATCCTAGCTGTACACAGACATCGGTTGCATTGTTGTGGATTTAAAGACAAAGCCATTAGGTCCTGTCCAAGGAATTTTGACCCAGTAACTGTTTCGGCAATTAGACAGACTACCTTCGCCGGAGCAGTAGTCCTCATACTGTCCTCAGCAACCAGGAATCACACTTGGATCACGATAGCCAAGCCCTTGGACCACATCGTACAGATGTTGGCAGACCTGTTCCCTCAGCAATTCCTTTCGAGGACTTGTCAACCCTGAAGTCCATCTTCATTGCCTCACACAAATTCAACACGAGTACGAGTCGGGGAGGGAGAGAGAGAGAGAGAGAGAGAGAGAGAGAGAGAGAGAGAGAG